AGCTAGACAAAGATATTGGGCAAATATTGCTGTAGAAACAGCAAGATTCGATAAAAAACAACAAATTGAACAAAGACAGCAAACAAAAAGTAATATCATTAAAGATACCGATACTGATAGCGTAATATCTGACAAAATGCACCAAGAAGAGTCAGATACATTCTTTACAAATCTACATCAAGATCAACAAATAATAGATCCTAAAGAGTATCAGAAGCCATATATTTCACCGACTATGTCAGAACTAAATATTGGCAAATCCTCTTATTCGCAACAAGAATTAATACCCCCACCATCACCGCGGTATTCTGCAAATACCTCGCCAACACATACTAGAACGGCATCAATACATTCAACAGAAGGCACAAATGATTTTAGTCAATTGGATGCCTCAACGCATCCAATAACTATAGTACCAGCTAAACCAAAATCATTTGGAGAAAAACTTAGCGACATATTCTCAACAGCAACTTCATACCTTCCGAGGTTTTCTAAAAAGAAAACTATACCGGATTTAAGACAAACTGCAATAAAAGATAGTGCAGTATCGCAAATAAAAGAAGATAACCAAGTATCGCCAGAAGAACAAGAATTCTACAGGAATAGGAAAATATCCTTTAATCAAAGGCATACGGAACTGGAACAAACCAGTTCAATTACTATTAAAACCACTAAAGGCAAAGAAAGGTCAAATGAAGAACAGATAAAAGAAATATGGGAAGTACCTTCAGAATATCATAAACACTCACTCCCTCCGGGATCAAATATAGAATATAAAATAACTGGACATAATAACCAATCCCATGAACTATCACTACCAATAAACGAACAATCAGAACAATCATCATTATACCAATCAGAAGAAATATCACCTGAACTTAAACCAACGGGTGAACGACCTTCAACCCCAATACCAAGTAAGACTAATAACCAATATGGATACCAAAAAGAACTAGATTCTATTGAATTACAATATAAACCAATCAAAATGACTGGAAAAACTATTAAAATGCACAAAGCATTAAAACATATACCAAATGCAATA